CCGCTGATTTTTANCCTTCAATAGACTTCATCAACTAATGCTTCGACCATCTACATAGATTAAAGATTTCTCATTAAGTGGTGGAGTAAATCTGAGACAACCTGCAAAATTAACGCAAAAAATGAGCACAACCGCTGATTTTGANCTCATCCTCTTCCCATCCCGTGTTTATGAGGACTCCTTAAGGGGGACAAAGTGCACGATAATTTTTCCCGAGCAACTCTTTGCTCGACAAGTTGAAGAGAGGTTACAGAGGGCACAACAATGAATGAACGACAGGTGGGCTCCTAACCAAGCAAGATATGAGCTGCTCAATACCGCTAATATCGAGCACCAAACCCCCAAACCTTTTTAATATTTGAGATTTTCACANGTACAACTTGTCTTTGCACTCAACAGCCTAGTCCTTAATAATTTAGGGGAACGTTTGAATGTTGTTTGGAGTTCGTTCGTGGTACTCAAGTACCTCAGTATAGCTGCAACACGTCATGTCTCAGTAGCCTGGTCTTCAATTAATTCAGGGGGACATTCCAACGTTATTTTGCGTTCAAACATGGTACTCAAGCACCTCAGTGTAGCTGCAACATGCCTTGTCTCAGTAGCTTGGTCTTCAATTAATTTAGGGGAACGTTTGAACATAATTTAGTATTCGAACGTTCTTACTTTGTTCCAAACTTTTTCAATTTTGTCCCCCAGTATACTGGTGCTGCATTCAAGTTTGATATATGTTCACTTTAGGACCTGGAATGTCATCATTTAAACTCCATCAAAGTATAATTAGTCTTAAAAAGACATAGTAATTTGCTAATTTTAACTACTAATCATCTCACCCATGAGCTTGGAAGTGAGGTTTCCAAGAAAGGACTCCCTCAGTTCCTTCGAGATCTTCTATCAATGAATCAATTGTTGCTTTCCTTTTTTTTGACTACTGCATCTTCATCAAATCGGTAATATATGCAAAGTCTTCGATTGGATCCACCTCTTCCTTGGAGCCTACAAGGGTGGGAGAAAGCTCGATTATATTCCTAGGAGTCTCATCTATCGGATTTAGTGGTACCATGGGTGGATCCAAATGAGAAACCTTAGTGGTAGATTGTAAAGATTGAGACACAACTAGAACTCCAGAACCTAAAGCACCACTCAAAGTGGGACCCAGCACCAAGTTGATAAAGTTGGTAGGGACTCATCCTCTTCCCATCCCGTGTTTATGAGGACTCCTTAAGGGGGACAAAGTGCACAATAATTTTTGCCGAGCAACTCTTTGCTCGACAAGTTGAAGGGAGGTTACAGAGGGCACAACAATGAATGAACGATAGGTGGGCTCCTAACCAAGCAAGATATGAGCTGCTCAATACCGCTAATATCGAGCACCAAACTCCCAAACCTTTTTAATATTTGAGATTTTCACATTAGATTCAGGAACTTTCCCCTTAATAATTTCACCTAAAATAAAAATTTCTTATTAGAAACAGGAAGAGGAAGGAAAATAGGGGGGGAAACAGCAAATTCTACCTGAGGCACCTTCTTCATATAGACAATTATAGTGAGGTTGCTCACCTGTTCAATGTTCCCAATTGCCCAAAACAAAGAAAACAACATTTTCATTTCCTTTGTTTGAATCTAGAAGGTGGGGTCATATAGCGATTAGGCTTCTTATCTCTAAAATAGTAGTTCTTATCAGCAGTATAGGTAGCAATATAGCCATAAAGGATCTCCTAGAGCCCAAGTTAACCCCTAAAAGGTTGTTCAAAGATACCACCCCCATCACTATCCTAAAAAAATTAGAACAACATTGAAAGAGGCATAGTTTCAAGGCCTGAAGAACCCACATAAGTAATGGGTGGATAGGGAACCTTTCTCCACCCTTAATAATAGCTCTGGTAGGGAAGGGGATTTGCTCCTTAGACTCTATGAGTAGTTTATCCTCAACAACTTCGATAATGACATCATTAGGGATGGCATATTTAGACCTAAACCTAGGAACATCGCTTGCTTCTAACTTACCCATAAGAAAAAAGGGAAGAAGGACTTCCAGAAATATCAAGGGAAGAAAGGCCTTCAAAAGCAACAATGGTGAGATATGGAGGAAGAAGATGCAATTATATTTCATACGGGAAAAAGGAAAAAGAAAAGGCATCAAAGAAACAATACCTGGAGCTTCTAACTGATGACCGTTTATGACAATGAAAAGGCCCAATTACCTTCTTTGTCCAGTACCAATTCTGAGAAGATATTGATGGAGGAAATGAGAACATAACAGAGAATAACCTCTCGTGTGCCACGTGGAGAGACATTCTCTGGGGGCAAGTGAAGGAGCTCAGAACCTTAAATTGCTAAAGGGATTGCATGGCAGAAGCACGTGACAAGAGCATGTGTTAATTATGCCATGACAGTTTATAAACCGAGAATAGGATCAAGTGGCTGAGCCAGTGTTATCGAGAATAGGTGGAAAAGCCGAGCAAGAGACAACAATCAGAATAAAGACCTATCTATTAGTCGATTTAATAGGTCTTCAACTCTATCCTTCTGGAATAAATCTCTACCAAAAGAATGGAATGATTGAGCCATCCAGCTAATTTAGGGATAATAGAAGGGATAACCATGATTGAAAGTTAAGCATGTCACCAATATAGGCAATCAAGGAAGCTAAAAGGAATTTCAGCATAGATCAAGAGGAAGCCATCTAGAAGATAAAGGTGACACCTAGAATGAAAGGCGGCAAAAACCCTAGAGTCAAAGGCATTACAAAACACTATAAAGAGAGGTACAAAGGACAAGTTTAAGGTATGCACAACTAACCCAGTGAATGTGTCAACCCATTCCAAATACTCAAAACTAACTTTGGCATTACAGTGCTTCCAACCGGTCAAACCCCCAGTCTCAGGCAGTTTGTTCGTTTTGCAGGTTGTGGTGGTCTTCGCTCATGCATTAGGAGTTTCTTGATCATTCATCAAAGAGGCCTCAAATTTCTACCTCTTACAATCTTGTGTGCACATTTTCCTTCTTATTCTTCTCTTTGTCTGACAGACTAACCATAGAAATCATATGATTTCTTGAAGATTCAACTTCCAAGGAAACTAGGTCCTCCTTCAATAGACTTCATCAACTAATGCTTCGACCATCTACATAGATTAAAGATTTCCCATTAAGTGGTGGAGTAAATCTGAGACAACCTGCAAAATTAACGCAAAAAATGAGCACAACCGCTGATTTTTATATCCATGGTATTTTGCTTGCTTGATTGTCATCAATAAACTTCTTTTAGGCATTACAACAAACACTTCATGTGCGTTATTCAAGTCGATGCTGGTGGTGACTCGGTAGTGCTTGCGGTGGGGTGGTCTGGGTGTACTAGTCCAATCCCATTATTCAAATCGATACATAGTTTTGTTTTTTGCAACACTACTAATAGACAGTCAAGAGTAATGACGAAACAATAAGAAAAAATGAAGGCAACAAAAAATGGAGAACATATAGTCTTACCCTCTTTGTTCCCCTGAGTTGTTGTAAACCTGAGATTCATCATCGTTCGTCACCAATCTGATCTTCAAAACCCAATTCAACATTTAAAACCCATGTAAGAAAACAACCACATATAAAAGAAAAATCAAAGTAGTTGGGGGTGGTTATGGTAATGAGAGATGGGGCAATAGTGGTGGCTGTGGGGTATGGGGGTTTGATGACATGGACTTGCCTCACGTCTCTCGCTTACGTCTTTTTCCGAAATTATGTGAGTAGGATAAAATTCAATTGACGGGAAAACATATTTTGGACAGTTAATTTTATCTATTAGATTAATAAAAAATATTTATCAATTATTCTGAGACGTTTGAACGATTTCATAAGTAGAGAGATTAAAAAAAATTGTCCTTTGTCATATAGATTCGAGAGAGATTCAAAAGCAATGTTGTTTGTATTTTCTTTTCTTTTTTTTGGGGCTGTTGACCTTCTGTGCAGGCGGAAGAAAGTCTTGTGCTTGTTTATCACTATAGTTATTCTTGTAATTGACAGAATCAGGATTGAGGTATATTTTTTCCTCTACATAATTTGGTGATCTAAGGAAATTAGATGCATGTGGGCATCTTTGATTTTCTTTGTACCCAATATAACATGTTATTTTTATATCAATTATTATTTTTTAGCATACTCGCTATTGTTATTATTTGAATTTAAATGTCATATGACTTCGTCCAGTTGATCAACCAATGACACATTAATCTAGTCCCTTGGACTTGACCGACTTGAGGTCCGAACTTTGCTTAATAAAATATGCTCCAACTTGAAACGGGGCATGGCTTATAATGTTTGATGTTGCGGAAACTCAATAGAGGTCTAATCCATGTCGGCCGCATCAGGTCTAATACACGACGGTAATCTTTACACAGCATAGCTTCTGGCATTAATTACATCCCACTTTGTAAGTATGTTCAAATTCAAGCAGCAGTCATCTTTAAAGGCGAAATTATTAACTGAAGATAACAGAAACGATGAAGTTCTTTCACAAACATTAAAGTAACGTACTATTTTATTTCTCCTAATATACCACTGAAAAATAAAATATTATGATTATTTAAAGAATCACAAACAATTCATTAGCAGCGAAGAACCAAATTGTTTTGCCTGTACAGTGTTCTTGTTATTCCACATGGTGACGAGGGGATAGAACAATTAGAAGGCATGGAGATCAAATAAAAATTGTGGTGGCTTTCAACACAACATCGGGAGAAAAAATACTGTAGACATACAATATATATTCAAGCTGTTCGCAATCAGAATTATCACAATAATATGTATCAGATGGCATGGTTGTTTTTAATGTCAGTCCAATAGAGCACAAGGCAGGATCAACACAAACTTCTACAAATCTCCAAAACACTTGTCAACTCTCTGCATCTCTACTTCCTTTCTTACACACATCTATAACAATAGCCAATGCGAATGAAAACCACGCATGAACACACTGCCCAAGAAAATATATCACTATTTACTATGATACCAGACTATGTGGTTACTGTGGGTCTGCTTGGCCTTTTTCCTTCCATGGCATCTTTCTTCTTTCGACAGTTGTTGCAGAGGAATGGGCCTTCCCATGGCTTTGATGCGGGAGAAAAAAAGGGACCAGAGTTAACAGATAAACCATCACTTGGTGGCTGATCCACTTGGCAAATTGCACATCTGAATAACCCAGAGTTCGAGTTCAAAGGAAAATCCTTGCCCAGCCTGCAGTAAACAGACGAAAATAAACTGCAATCAAAGGCAACAGCCCAAGATGACAAAAATCCAAAAAGTCCCCCTTCACTTCTTTGCTAGACAAACTGCATCAAAGCTCATAGACTATAACTACAATAAGGATAGAAAAAATTTAAAAACAAATAAAAAATCAACCACAATAGGAATAACGACAAATTAAAACATATTCGGGAAAACTTCACCCCTTATAGATAATTCTATCTTCAGAGAACTCCTGGCATTATCTGAAACTTACTTGTACCCCCTTCTAGTTGATATATCCGTTTCATTCAGACCCCTTGTGATTGATTGTTATTGACAAGCTAAAAAGTGAATAGAACCATTCAACATTTGGTAAAAATACAAATATTACCACCGACATAGCTTTTATTTTAAAATATCATTGTATTTGGAAGTTAAAAGGCCTAATTTTTCTTTTATATTTATATTTCCTCCTCCTCCTCCTCCTCCCTGCAACAGACCACTCCTCTCTCTCTCTCTCTCTCTCTCTCTCACACACACACACAACCAACCAACAAACACCATGGCAAGCCAGCCAACCCACCAACACCACCCAATCCCTTTGACCACACCCCCATAGCTGCACACACAGTCACACATAACCACACGCACTCTGAACTCCATCACCAGAACACCTTTGACCACCATCTATTTAGATGCCTATCTGACGCATAGTCATCCAATTCAAACCCACCAGTGAACATATTTGACCCACAGTCCATCAAATTCAATCCACTTGAATCCCCCTCCAACTCACCAAACCCCCACCTCAAACCAACTCGCACCACCACCAATCTCATAAATCCCAAAAACAATTTTGAATTTGATTTGAATGAAAATGATAAATTTGATTTGCTTTGCCAGATAAAGAGAGAGAGGTGGTGAATGGTGGTAGGAAAATCATTCAATGTTTGCCACAAAAGAGAGAAGCACGTTGTGAAGGAACTTTCCAAGCTGCTCAAACCAAATCAATGTAAAGAAAACCCATCAAATTCTTCCCCCTCACCACCAGAATCTCTGCAGGCCACCCAATTTCAATCAAGAGAGAGAGAGAGAGATCGTAGAGCCATTTGAAATTGATGGGTCAGATGGCAAGGAGAGGGGAGAGAGAGGAGGTGGGACTAGATGGGGGATATTTTGGTTCTCTGTGGTTCAAATAATATAAATATGTACTAGTTGCTACACTTTGAGATAGTGGAAACAACGTTAGAGATTATGATAAATGCAAATATCTATAAGGAGTAATTTTAATTAAGCTCTTGCTAAACCCTCGAATCGATAAATAACTCTCCTTGTACTAAAGTGTATCAAGAATGATCATTTTTTTTTGGTCTGTCATCCATAACGATATCGACTCGATAATCTCTTGTACCTTTCAAAGAGGTTGCACGGCAATCCATAAATTTTTTTTTTTTGTCTTTTTGACAAAAGGGNTATCGACTCGATAATCTCTTGTACCTTTCAAAGAGGTTGCACGGCAATCCATAAATATTTTTTTTTGTCTTTTTGACAAAAGGGTAATGCTACTTGTGGCAAATTTATTAACTCAATTAGTATGTATTATCTATGTAGCTTTTGATTAGCTTCTTGTTCTCTATATATAGAGGGAAAGAAAAGATTTTTTCTAGCTACTTGGTAATTCAAAATAATTAAGATAAGGATTTCAAAAGGTTTTCTCAAAAATTGACATAATATTTCACAATAAAATATTGAAGAGGTAAGATGGCTCAACATCCAATAATTCATGTATTTTTAATGCAATTAGGGTATTTAATCTTGAAATCCATAGGCCATAAACTCTGTCATAATAATAATATTAACTAAGGATTTAGATGTAGATAATGCTTTTATTTCAATAATCATTACAAAATTATGAAATAGATTTTATATAACTTGTTAGAAATATAATATAATATTTTTCTTACAATAATCATTATTAAATGACACACAGAATATACAAAATCTAAAAGTTAAAAGGAATTTAATACAATAAAAGATGATGGAGAATATGAAGATTCAAGTGAAATTAATAATTAATATATAGACTTAAGATGGGAAAGTAACTCTTGGATGAATTGCAAAATTAACTTTATAGTATTAATTAAGGCAAAAATTGAAGTAAGGATTAAATTGGCTTTGTAGCATCGTTCAATGGTGTATTTAGAAATCAATAGTTTTTCACTTTTGTTGACATTTCGTAGTAGCATAGATAGACATAGATATAGATATACACAAACACGTGTAAATATGTAAATGTACATGTTTACATATTTATTTGTCAGTTTGTCGATTTGTACAAAACTCAGGTGCATAGGGGTAAAATTAACATTTTTGTTAGCTCTAAGGAGACAAACATTGACAAGGGGTGTCAATGAAATTGGCAGGGGGTGCCTTAGAAGATGGCATAGGGTTAACTAACATTTTTGTTAGCTCTAAGGTGACAAACACTAACAAAGAGTGTCAAGGGGTGTCGAGGAAATTTGCAGAGGTGCCTTAGAAGATAGGGCATTTTACAAAAGGTGTGGATGAAGTTCTGCTAAAAAATTCTTAAACTTCTCATCCAGTTTCTTCGAGACCCTCACTATGTTATAATCAAGAATGATTCAATGAGAATAATGGAAGCATCAAGTTCCAGTCATACATAATTGAAATTATATTTCCTAATTATGAAAACTGCAATACCCAATGATAATGCAGAGGCATCAATGAAGTCCCAATTCCAGGCTATTGCAGCACAACATTATTTGTTAGAAAACTATAGAATAAGCATAATAACGCGAGTGTTTAAAATTGACCAAGTGTCGGGGAGTTTTACCAAGTATACATTCACCTGGTGCTTAATGAAGCACAAAACACGAAGACAATCACATATGTATAAGTAGTTCTATGTCCAAGTGTATGTATAACTGAAAGCTCCATGCTAAGCTCCTCCAACCAAATACTTCAAGAATCAATGCTTTTGTTATATTCTACTGCCTCCAGTAAGCAGGGCATATCATAAAACAGAGATCTACAAAAATATGCATCAGTGATCCACAAGACTTTCAGGATACTTGCTTATAGCCTGTCCATACATGGCTTTGTGGCATTGGTTCAACATGATAACCAGAACTTGACAATTTTTATGATATCAATATTCTTGGTCTTAGAAAATATGGTTATCACATAAAATTGAAACCACACAGTGATCCTCACAGGAAAATCTCTTCACAAAAATATCACATGGGTAGAAACAAAAGTGATGAGGATTGTGTTTGAGTTGGATAGATATTATAAATTTATTATGAGAGTTATTTGGATATTATTTAGTATTTACTTTTTTAGTAATTTCTTTTAATTTATAAGGACTTACTTTTTATTTTGATTATGTATTAGTTTTAAGATTTTGTATTCTCTATCTATATAATAAAATCAGATATATGTTTGAACTTATGGGCATAGTTGTTAGTATCGTACGATACACGATACATATCATACAATACGTCACGATACAGGCCTAAAACGATACGGATCGTAGTTTTTTATTGTTTTTGTGTTGTAACTTCCGATATACGATATGATACGATACGCACGATACGTGCAAAGCCTGTTAATTTTTTTATTTTTTTTTTATAGAGCGAAGTCATTTTGGGCAAAAAGACTGATTTTTTTATCCCTATAACCACTGAAACGACATCGTTTCAGTGGCTAGGATTTATAAAAAAAATAAGATTCATCTTTCCCTTCTTCGTTCAACGAACATATTCGACTCGTCCTGGGTGTTCTTTAGCCTTTGACGACGACGATCACAGAAGTTGCCTTCTTCCATCGAAGGTGCCTCCTCGTTGTTCGCTGGTCTTTGAACTCCAAATCTCTATATCTTCGAATCCAGCTGGCCTTCGAATCGCTGGTCTTCGCTGTCTTCGTTGTTCGCTAGCCTTTTATTATAATATGGTGTGAGCTTTGTATTATAATATTAGTGAACTATGTTGATGACTTGAATAGTTGGTGGAGTGTTAATAAAATGCTATATTTTTATGAGTATTTTATCTTTTTTCAAAAGTATATATATTTTATTATTATTTATTTAAAATTGCGCCATAGCTTACAATACACAATACTANTTTTATCTTTTTTCAAAAGTATATATATTTTATTATTATTTATTTAAAATTGCGCCGTAGCTTACAATACACAATACTATACGATACACTATTTTTAAAAAACGATACGCCTTCCGATACACGATTTGATAACTATGCTTACGGAGAATATATTTTTCCNCGATACACTATTTTTAAAAAACGATACGCCTTTCGATACACGATTTGATAACTATGCTTACGGAGAATATATTTTTTCCCAAAATTTCATACACTCAACACACACATTCCTATCCATGCACAGTATTATAATTCAATATACAGTAACTTTAGTCACGAGGTATTGCTAGTACATATGCATGGGGTAAAGCTCTTGTTTGAGGTAGACTTTGTCACACTCAACACACTTTCTCCCCTAAATTTCAAAAACTCAACACACATTCCACTCAACACACTTTCTCCCCTTAATTTCAAAAACTCAACACACACTCCACAACACACAGCTGCACATACATACACCACATATTCCAATGCATGCACAGTGTCATAATTCAGTGTACAGTGACTTTAGTCACCGGGTATCGCTAGTATATATATATGGGGTAAAGCTCTTGTTTGAGGTAGACTTTAATTACTATTGAATATTAAGAATTATTTGTTCTCTTTCTCATCTCCTTAATTCTACCTTAAATCTGATACCAAATTGATGTAGATTGGGAAAAAATAGGGGATGAGAAATAGAAGTAGATGGATGATGCATGCACAGTATCATAATTCAATATACAGTAATTTTAGTCACAAGATATCGCTAGTATATATGTATGGGGTAAAGCTCTTGTTTGAGATTGACTTTGCCACACTCAACACACTTTCTCCCCTAAATTTCAAAAACTCAACACACACTCCACTCAACACACTTTCTCCCCCAAATTTCAAAAACTCAACACACAGATGCACATACATACATCATATATTCCAATGCATGCACAATGTCATAATTCAGTGTACAGTGACTTTAGTCACGAGGTATCGCTAGTATNCAAAAACTCAACACACAGATGCACATACATACATCATATATTCCAATGCATGCACAGTGTCATAATTCAGTGTACAGTGACTTTAGTCACGAGGTATCGCTAGTATATATATATATATAGATATGGGGTAAAACTCTTGTTTGAGGTAGACTTTGATTATCATTGAATATTAAGAATTGTTTTCTCCTTTAAGTTCTCTTTCTTATCTCCTTAATTCTACCTTTTTCATCACCCTTCTACTTCTATTTCTCATCCCCTACTTCTTCCCAATCTACATCAATTTGGTATCAAAGCTACGAAAACGTACATCAATTTAGTATTAGAGCCCAATTTCGTTCCTAATCACACACTATAAAGCATCGTCACTGTTCACGATTTATCAACCATACCATCACTGTCCATTGTCATCACAACCATCTACATCCTTCAGGCAAGCAGTGTTTTGAAGAGAAGAATAAGGTGCTGGTCCATCATCAGAGTTTCAACTGCTGTTCGTCAGAAGTTCAACAATGGTTCACTGTTTATC